TAGTAGTCATTATAATATCCAGCTTTGAACCGTGGATCTGCTATATTTTCAAGTCCACGGTCTGAAGCTGGAAATTATCATTGCCACTCTGACAGAGGATTTTGAATAAGATGTTGTCGTCTAGACCGCCCTGACAGGACAACCAAGTTACTAAAAAATGGTCAAGCTACTTATATACAGAAAAAGGAGACTGCAACCAAAATAGTGGCCACATCATCCTAATCGCCATACATTAGATACACTCAATTATGCCTCTACCTCTTTTCTGTCCTCAAAATTCTGTCTATTAGCCCTCAAAGCCTGGGCATGGTTACATAAAGACTTCGAACGTCGCATCGCTTTTTTGACCTCGAAACTAGCAGTCAAGAGGTCTTTGCGTATAAATTTCATCTTGTTAAGTGACAATGTATGGAAAAGACAAAACACTCTGAATAAAGTGCATATAGACTCGATTATTTTTGTTTAAATTCTCTTCATTCTAATATATGCTTCATATTATCTACGCATATGACTGATTTACTTCTGTCCATGGTGAATACTCGAAAACTCGGACAACAACCAACCGCCTTAGATAAAGTGAAAGATAAAAATATTATATTGTAGTCCATGTACCGAACTTCAAAAGAGACAAACTCAACTCAAGATTGACACTTACTTGCTGTTGACCAGCAATTTCTTTTAAGCCAGTTTTTCACAATTTCAAGAATTGTTTGGAATTCTTCCTGAGACCGGAAAGTGCTGTTTGCGCAACACAGCAGCAATTCGCCTCTAAGATGGCCTAGTATTTAAATTGCAGTCTATTTATCGTATTAATAAACTATTCATTTTTCGTATGTAAGTAGCGTTTCGAAACTACCAGTAAATCAGTAATATGAGATGTATTCAGCTCTACCAAATGGGGTGAATACATCTCATATAAACTATTAAAGAGGGGAAGTCGAGGCAGAATACTTATATATAGTACAGATTACTTAGGCTTGATCCAGTTCAGTGAAAGTATACTCATCTGACCCACTTCAGGACAGACTTACAGAAGTGTAGTCAGGTAGCATATCTCGCAGTTTTGGAGATTTATTTTGAGGCTTTAAACTTTAGAAGCCGGTAATCCCTGTTGCCAAGATTCTGGCAACCTACACGTTTCTAGATCAGCCTAGAAAGTCCAGTGGCCTCTTGCATCAGATGCAAATGAGATCTAATTACTTGGATAGTTGCTCAGTTCTGGGCATGTCGTCACCCTGTCAGCATGACAAGGACGGGTCGTGGAAGTGAAGCATAATGTCAAAATAAGGTCAAAATAATCGTGATATTTCTAGATAGAAATAGCCCACTCCTTATTGTCTTATTTCTTCGTTGGGATTTTCGATGACGCAAAGTTATATTTGATATAGCAATCGACTACGTTACTCATTTTTTGTTTATAAGTAGGGTTTCGAGTCTACTAGTAAATAAGTTATATGAGAGGTATTCACTTTCTTTTGTGATGAAGGGCTAGTATTGGCGGTTAGGTTGTAAAGATTACACGCCGCTCTTTCATGATTCGACTTTCGCTAGGGGTGATGATAAGGCCGAGGTGAGGTCGAAATTGCAGTTTTACTTCCAATCCGGATAAATACACCTTTTGGGGAAGCAAGTATATGTGAAATTGAATGCAAACGTTATCTCTACTCATGTCATTGTGGGATAATTCAACTACCAGTCCTTCGTCATCCTAAACGGAATAAGGTGAATATGTCCCGTTATTATCAATATTAGTATCATCATCATCATCATCGTCGTCGTCG